AATCGTTTTATACATTGTTACCACCTAGGTATGAATCATTTTATACGTTGTACCACCTAGGTATGAAACATTGTTATATGTTGTACCACCTAGGTATGAATCCTTTTATACATTGTACCACCTAGGTATGAATCGTATTTATACATTGTACCACCTAGGTATGAAACATTTTATACATTGTACCACCTAGGTATGAATCATTTATATATTGTACCACCTAGGTATGAATCATTTTATACATTGTACCACCTAGGTATGAATCGTTTTATACATTGTACTACCTAGGTATGAATCATTTTATACATTGTACCACCTAGGTATGAATCATTTATATATTGTACCACCTATACCATTGCTTTTTCTTTCCTATTTTACTAATACATGTACCTAATAGTGTGATAATTTGAGTGATTTTCACTATATTGCGTTATATAATGATTTCTTTGTGGATTTGTGGCATATAAACAATGCAAAAGCAGTTAAAAAAATACAATGTTTAGTTGTGATTCTTTGCATCATTTTACAAAATAGATGACAGACCAGGCAAGTGGCAACGATGGACATGTCTATGACATCACATGTCATGAACTTGCAAGTTCTCAAAAGAGTTTTATCGCAAAATGTACATTGTTGCTAATAATAGTTATTGGTATTTGTACCAGGTTTCTCTGTTTTGACCAGTTGATCACATATACCCGCAATCACTATGAACAGTGTATACAGTCGTGTGATCTCAATTCAGTTAGATATTTAAGTCAGTTTATTCAGTGTCAGGGCAAGTTCACATGTCTTCTAGTGCCAGATATAAGACCTTGCTTCAGCCAATCAGATGGCTAGATTAAGACTAACCATGTTATAATTCTCAGTACCTTGAATACGAACATGCACGTTTTTGGAACATTTTCACTGTGTTTCACGCATTGCATCATGGGCAAAAGGTCGACATTGTAGACATTTGCATGATACAATCAAAGAACTGGTTGACGTTCTTCTGAGTGTT